AATCGTTTACAAAGAGTATTACTGAATGTAAAACTGTAAATCTGTTAAAATTTTCAACGAATAAAAATTGAAAAATCTTGTTTGATGCATTTAAGTTATGTGATTACATCTGAGAAAAGAAAGATTTGATTACTGAATCACAAAAATCGGTACTGTTCTATTGATTTGCTGCAAATGCGAAGAGAATGGAAAGAGAGAAGAAGAAAAAAAGAAGTAAAATCAGGATAATTGGGAATTATTATTAGTGTACCATTAACTTTTCTGTAAAAAGAAGAATACACACAAACATAAATAAAGTTTTGTTTTTATCTGTTCTGGAGACCTCTGTATGAAGAACGGTTAAGAAGAAGAAAATTCTTGAGAAAAGAACCAGAGCGCTTTGCTAGATTATTAGAATATACTTAGTATCAGTAAGAAAAGAAGGTTAGTGTATCATTTTTTTGGGCAATAGTTTATTCTCAGAATAATGTTCTACTTGAAAAAATCAAAAAAAAAAAATTGTTTTTGCTTTTTTTTTAAATCAAAATTTAGATGCTTGAAAATTGACCAAATTGCAACTGTTTCAAGTAGTCAAAAGTGAACGACCTGCTTGGATAAAACTCGTCAACGATACAGTCAATAAGCAGAATTTCGGGAATCTGTGTAACGACAAAGTTGATGTGGTTATCAAATTTAATACGGTCCGGAACTCTAATAAGCATTACTTATTTTTTAGAAGAACATTTAATATTTCAATTTAGAAACTTGAAAAAAAACTGTTTTTTCCTACCTTTACTTGCTCTAAGATAAAATTATTAACTCAGTAGAGAAAAACGAAGAAGAAAACTGCATATCTGTTGGTGAATTTTTTGATTCTAAAGCTAAATAACTTAATATGTGGAATACATATAAAATGAGGTTATTTTGCCGTCGTTCTGGTGTTTTACTAAGTAATAGGTAAAGCAATAAAAAGACAGTCAGCATTTAAATCAGCCAATAAAATTTAGGCAAAGACTACAAATACAATTAGTTAAATTGATATAATTAAACTGCTGTGACAAAGAGATTGCGCTTACATAATTGTCATCCTTATTCAGTTACAGTGAATAAACTTATGACTTCAACTTAAATGCCTAATCTACAAGAGGAAAAAATGATAAAGAAAGACATTTTAATCATGTTTTTTCAAGACAATCTTTGTATTCTGTTTTGTAGCTATATTTTTTTTAAACTGCATACTGTTCTAAAAACTTGAATATTGTCTTGCTGATACAAATATCTAGAATAGAATAGTTCAACAAATAACTGTTTATAGATTTACTAAATTTAACGTTTAAAAGCTTACGTCCTATCTTTATCTATAATGTCGTTGTTTTAAAAATTAGTACAAGATATGCATTTAAAAAACTGTTTCTCTTAAAAAAACAGTTTATGTTCACTTTTTCTTATGACATTTATTCAAATGCAGCAAAGTTTTCAATACCTTTGTTTTTTAATCTACAGCAGACACTCTGTCATATAAAGCAGTTGACTTTTAAGTTTACCATCTCAAAACCTAATCAATTCTTCTCTTCAGCCAACAGAATAATCTTAAGGTATAAGATTCAAAAAAAAAATATTTGTAGTTAGCAAAGCCAATATTTTAATTAAATTATTTCACTAAACAACATCGAAAAGAAAATATTTTTTGCTAAACTTGTTCTATTTCAAATAAAAGTCATATTATATTTTGTCAGTTGTTATTTGTTCTGAGTTGAAACCATGTTAAATTGTCAAATCTCACCTTTTTTTTTTTTCTTGAGCATGATGACAACTACCGCTTTATGAAAAATTTAAATTTTTTCACATTCAGTAGGAAGTAGTCGAAAATGTGACTGTCGACAAAGATGCATTGAACAGTGATAAGTATTAATGCTGTCAAAAATCTGAAAAAAAAGCAGTATGTCTGAATGGAAAAAAATGAAACAACAAAAGATGATAAAGCATTCGAAGTAAATTTTGCAAAAAAGTTTTTTTTTTTTTTGTCTTTAGTTGCTTTTGATACTATGTAGAATGTCAGCAAAAATTGCTAATGATCATTATTGACTTGCAAATTGTTGTAGCAGAAGAAAAAAGGAAGATAAACCAAATTGGTTCTCTTTTACTTGACACTGAATGTCTATAATTTTACAGAAAAAAGTAGGTAACTTTTTACTTCTTCCTCTCTCTCTCTGATCATTAAAAATCTTTTGGGTGTTGTTAATGGGTAATTGCAGGGATAGGCAGATTTGCTATGCAGATTTCCCTACATACACTTCCAATTATAGCTCCTAAATATCCATCCTATTACGCGTGGCATTTTATGAGTAACTGCATCTTTTTTTGTTTTTCCTAAATTATTAAATTACAGAAAAGTTTAGTTTTAAATATGTATCAAAAGTTGTCGACAATTGAAAAATTTATAATTTACCGACAGCAAAAAATGAAAAAAATGTCGATAAATAGTTATCATAAAAATAGCAGATTTTTACAGTGACAGTTGAATGCAGTTGTTTTTTTTTTCTTTTTTTAAATGCAGTTATCTATTTCAGTGTGGTTTCGACTACTTAAGTTATGCACTGAATAAATTCTGGAAATCCATTCATTTAACTGTTCACTTTAGAAAACAGTAGTTAGAAGAAACTCCAATAATCTTAACTCAATTGTTTTTCTACCGTTGTTACTTCTGCTCAATTATTACTTCAGTTAAAAAAAAAAACATTTTTTCTTCTGGTGAATCTTTATCAATGAAGTATCACTCATAATAAGAGAAACGTATAATTGTGCAATTTAAATGAGTATATCTTTTTCAGGTGTAAGTAAAACGAATAAACGTTTTATGCACTTCATTGTTCAACAACATAAATTTGTAACCAAAATGATACAACTGACCAAGTCGATAGCATCAACAGTGAAATTTCTTTGTAATTCACTTTAACTTTACGTATTTGAGAATTGCTGAACAGTTCTGCAACCTAAAAAAAAATTAGTAGAAAAAGACTACCTGTATACTGAATATCATCTGTATACTGGTAAATTTAAAGTTACGAGTAAAATTTTTATTTGGTATAGGCAAATTGTAAATATTTTTTCAAGCAACGTTTTCTTCAAGAAATTAAAAGATTGCAATTTCAACAAGTCTTTATTTTAATTTAGCTTTTTCAATTTTAATTAAAAATGAATAATCTAAGTTAAAACACTTTTTACCAAAGTTTACAGATGGTACTTTCAATTAAATCATTTCATACATTTTTGAGTGTACGGTATATTACAAAATTTTCAGCTGCAACAAGCATCTCTACATTGTAGAACTGCTCCGATATATTCAAAATTTTGACACTGCAAAAATTTGCTTTAGAAACCTGTGCTATAAGATACAGCAAATAATAAACAATATTTTTTTATTTTAAACTAAAAAAAGCTTAGCACTGAACTAAAGCCATCTTTTCGTCTACCTATAAGTGATTAAATACTGTTTATACTTAGCGTTCCGATACAAAATATGCCTTCTTGTCGTTCTTTATTACTTGCTTCTAATTTTTGTCTAGAATTAAAAAACACTATTACAGGATGCTTGAAAAGTCCTAACGCGCATCACAATGAAATTTTACTTTGCTCTCAAACTAACCGCTGGCCTCGTATCTCTCTCCTTTGCTCGGGTATACTTCAAAAAAGCTTTTCAACAAATAATTTTCCACTTATTAACTAGAAAATCTGAAATCACTTTAAGATTTTTAAAAGACTTATTGACTAAAAACTACCGTCTTTTAAATTTTTCTTTTATATAGGAGTTTGACGGTTCTAGTAGTATGGGAGCTATAGCAGATGTAGGAGGCGTGCACAGCATTGCGGGTATGCGAGCTATGGAAGTTATGGGAGGCATGGAAACTATAGGGGCTATGCGAGCTGTAAGAGACATGGGTATGATGCGAATAGGCGTAAATGTTACGTATTCACGCATAAACAGAATGGGAATCATCAGTATCAAACTCCTTAGACCTTAAAGATAAACACCTCAAATCCTACTGAGCAGCGTACTCCGTTCTTATCTAAGCTACCCACGCCGTTCACTGTACCCATATTTGTATTATTACTAATAATAGTTTGAAGGAAACTGTTGCAAATATTTGTTTTTTATTTTTTAAGACACCGAAAATTATCAGTTTTTGTTGCTAGACACTCGACTGTTGTGTGTTTTTAAACTTTCTAACTTTTTGGAGGTCTAATTAAACTTAAGACTGTTAATGCTTCCTCTTTCTTTTGTTCACCAAGTAGGAAGTTACACACTCGTTTAGCTAACAGCTCAATCGTCTGCGTAAAGTTGATGACGTTAACAATTAATGATACACTTAATAAATAAAAATAAATAATACTTCTCACCTCGGAGGCATATTTAAATCATATGACTTTTGAAGAGAAATTTCAATTCTTCAACATTTTTTTTTAATCACAAAAAAAGAACATGAAAGTGCAACAGTTCTTTTACTCCTACAAAAAAATTTTAATTCAGGCATGCAAAAGAGCACAAATCCAGAGCGATGTACCATTATAGCTGTTTGCGTATGTAACTCACCTTGAGGTTATGCTATAGGTGAAGCATAGCTTTTTTATAACGCTGTGCGTTCGGTACAGTGCAATGGTTTTCCCAATCTGATGCGTACAGTCTATATCTTCGCTCAGACTAGCACACTACGGTCAGTCTAAGTGGAATTCATTCAAATACAAGACTTTATAGGTAGAGAAAAGAATAGCCTTTTCACCTCAAGGCTACAAATGTAACATTATTCTTCAATTATTTACATTTTCTGCAAAAGATGATAAAGATAAAAGAAAAAAGTAAATGAAGATTACGGGCTAGGCAAAGGTGTCATAAGAAACTGAAGATAACCACAAATTTTTACTGCTATGGAGCTTACAACAGAAAATTACTGTACGGAATTGTCATCAAAGGTACTCTGAATCAAGTAATAAAAAATAAACTTCTAAGCATAAGACAATAGCAAAAAAGAATGGCAAAAATTGTTATCAAGATGATAAGGTTATTAGATAGAAGAAGAAATTCAATACCGATAAACAACAGAAGAACAAAGAAACTACGGTGGAAACACTCGTAAGACATTATTAAACTTTAAGGATAACTGTTTGAAGAAGATCCTGGTTGCCCGTTAGCCAAGAAGTACCTTATTGTCAATTGCAAGAGCTGACCTTAAAAAGTTAAGAGTACCGCGTTTGAATCAATCAACGGCACAAAAACTGATCTTCTCGGCACATTAGCCCGAGAAAACTACGCAGTAAATATTACAGTAAATATCAGTGAGAGTCATATACATAGTTATAAGACAAGACATTCAATTATAAGTGTACTTTGTGCTATCAAGTGACCTCAGGAGATTTTGTTTTAAGAGTTTCGACTTTGTCCTGACGTTTTTCTAACACTGTGTAAAAAGTTTGGTGAGTCTGATTAATTTAATCAGGTATCCCGCTATTAAAATGGCAGTGGTTTTTCATGAACCTCAAATAAGTTTTTAATATTTGAAGATCTTACCGAAGACAATTTTTGTTGCATTTTTCTCTGTGACAACAGTTTGAATTTAGTTATATTTCAAAGTTTTTGATTATCTGAATGATTTGTACAGCTCTGCTATGGTACTACAAAAAAAAGAGGTTGCTTTTCAAAAGCCTGAATTTAGACCATAAATATAATTTAAGCCATCTGCACTTAAACTGCCAGACGAGCAGTAAAAGTAACAGAGCATAACCGTACAAATTAAAGCAAAAACTTTAACTTCTGATTGCAGTTCAAGATTATAACAACCAGCTGAACTAATCAACGTCATTTAATTTTTTGCGAACCGTTAGATAAAGACTGAGAAAAAAAAGTCGAAACTTTTTAGATAGAATCTCCTGAATTCACTCGGTGATACAAGACGTTTGTAACAAAACAACTTCCCCACCAATTAAGTGTTTAACCCCGGCTGATACTAGTATCTCTATGTTTTTTGGTGAAAAATGTGGCAAGTCCAAGATTTTAGAAAGATGTTTGTACTTCCACAGCTTATTGATGCTCAAGGTTTCTATGCTTATCCACAAATACTGCAGAGGTGAGCGCGCTTGACAAGAGATTATTTTCAGTCACTAAAGTTTTACAAGCTTAAAAGTTACTGTATTTAATAAGAAAACTGGTTTTTTCTTCGCGTGATTTCTTAGTTGTTCGGTATTTGTAACAAATTCCATAAATGGGAAGTTTCAGAGTTGATCCGTATTGTGACTATAGAACAACAACCATCAATTTTCCGACTACGTTGGAGATTTTAGAAAGGGCAGCACCTTTTTTTCCACCACAGGTGTATTAGTACTTCTTATCTTCTGTCAATTTTGGTGAAGTAATATTTTTTTCAAAACTTGCTTAACTGTCGCTGTCGTTAGATTACGCTCAAGAAACCAGGTATAAAAATATTTTACCCAAAAAGTATGTAGTTTGTTTGATTTTTAGATTCTTTGGCCACTTGATAACCAGATATTCGTAGACGTGCAGAATGGAACAACATATCTTGGTTTACCAAGCAGTGCACGGTCTCAGCAACCAACAGAAGTATATAGCCAGAGAGGTAAAATGAAAGTATTATGCAAAAGCTAGCGAGTTTTTTATGGTTTTTCAAACGTACTTATATGGCTGCCCACTAACTTCAGAGTTTCGCAGAGCCGCTGCTTATAAGACGGTTTTATGTCAAGCATTTAGAGACAAGGGCAGTTGTGACTATGGAGAAGCGTGTCGATATGCTCACGGTGAGGAGGACCTTCGACTCCGGCCCTTAGTAAATCATTTTTTGATTCGCAATTTGAATCGTTTTATAAATGTTACCTAATATAAGTCCAGAAATAAACCAATAGCTGAATTTACAGTTACAGCCAAAGTACAAAAGGCAATTATGTAACAACTTTACTTTGTATGGTAGATGCCCGCGTGAAGACCGCTGCCAGTTTATACATCGACGACCAAGTCAACCTCGTTCTTACCAGGTAGACTTTTCACCAATGGAACGTTTTTTTATAGTCTTTTCTGTATAATTATTCTTTGAACAAACATTTGTTTGAATGGTATTCGTCAATACGTTTTAGAACCCAAATGTGGAACCAGAATCTTTGAATTACGAAGTTTGCAGGGATCTGAACGAGGCATCTGATAGTACTTTTCAGATAGGAAGGTAATAAGTAGCTTTGAAACGTTCATTGCCATAAAAGTGAAGTTTCTTAAGTTTTTATAGGCGAGTGTTTTTCTGTTGCTTTCGCATTATTCTAGTGCTTCTAAGTTTTCAATGACTATTCTGTTTCTAATGAAATGATTCTTAAGTGAATCGTATAGATCGACAAGTACCCCTTTGCCACCAGATGCAGTCCCAGAAAATTCTGGTTTTCCATCACCTTCTGGTGCACAATCGTGGCGCAACAGTCTCGACAAAAAAATGGTATGAATTATGCGACTGAATAAATTTATCATCCTTCAGGCTCTTTTAGCTGACTTTGGAAATTGTGCAATCTCGGAAGTGTCACTTCTGTACAATTATTTGCGATCGATGGAAAGTTGTTTGTAATTTTAGACCGCTGACTCTAAACGTCGTTTCGATCACCTGGAAGACTGATGTGACGAGACCATACCCCTGGAATTAAATCGAGCGTTATCAAAGTTCAATTTCAGACAAATAGTTTGCGCAACAAATCTTTTCTTTTCTCTATCGCCATTGAATTTATAGATAAGTTCAAAACCGCTGCTGCTTCTCAAGTTTTAACAAACAGAAGTCGTATGCCGCTCATCTCTCCTCACTGTCTGAAATTACCATTTGTTTGATTCACCGGTGCGGATAATTGTCTTCGTATTAACTAACATACATGAAGTTTACGCTCTGTATTTTTGCTATGTTTTCTCTTTTTTGAAAATTTTTCAGCTGTATAGATTCTTCCAAGTACTGTACTTCGGCAAATTTACTGTAATATATACTGCACAGTTTTCTAAGGCCGTTGTGCTGAAAAGGTTGCTTGTTGTAATACTGGTTGTTTTAGACGCAATGTTCTCAACAGCTCAAGAATAGCTTTTGCAATGAGTACTAACTTCTTGATTAATGCGCTGTCTTGTTGAAACAGTTGTTCCTGAAGTTTAAGAATGTCTTATGGCCCTTTCGGTTGTAGTTTGTTATTTTCTCTGCTGCTTATGGCTACTAATTTTCTGCTTCCACTCACTACTTGTATCACCTTCTTACTGAATCTTATCATTCTTTCTTGGCTATCGCTGTTTACTCTGGAGTGTTTCTGTTTACTCAACTCAAAAAAACTTCTGACGACAATCCCATGCAGTTCCAAGTTTGAATTTTTTGCTAAAAGCCTCAAAAGACTCAAACTTCACTGTTTTCCTTAGCTTCTTATGACACCTCCCAGCATTCACTGTTCATATATACTATTCGCGCAACGCCACTACTTTTTACAAAAAAAAAAAGTAAACAACTGAAAGAAAATACTACACTTGCAGCAACGGGATAAAAAGGATGTTAATTTCCCCGCCCTAGTTAATCAAAAATGTTACTTAACCGCAAATTCAAACTTTGATATTCAGCTGCTTAAACTTCTGCAGTTTCCTCAAAGTCCATGACTTTCCCACAGTAGTGCTGTACACTCTAATACATAAGTGGGACGGCTAAGCGCGTGCGTATTGTCCTACAGTTTCACAAAAAGCGACTTCCAGCGTGTACTCATCTAAACGTTCGATTAGGCTACAGGACCTACGACCCTTGACTACTGTTATCCACAACTTCCCAAGACGCAATTGCATTTGAACCCCAGCGGAACACTGCGTGTGAGTCGGACCATTAAAATTGCAAACTTCGCCGAGTTACTCCTTGACGACCGCAGCTGATAGTGCCTTTCTTCCTCATTACCATATATTTCAGGGAACTTCCTTAAACATACAGAGAAAACTCTAATAAGAGGTCAAGACTGACTACTTGACTCTTATTTCCCACATTTCCTCCAACAATTACCTGATAATTATAAAATATTTTGATTTCTACTTCAAAGTGAAAACAGAGAACCAAATGTTCTTTACCAAATTACTTGTATAAGACATTTTATCAACAAAAACACCCCAAGTTCTTAAACAAGACTTTAAGACAAAATTAACAGAAAGTTCCAACATCTAGTAAACGATTTTCGAATTCGATACACACGTACTGTAATTTAAAATGAGCTACAAATTTTTTAGCACTATAGCAACAACAAACTGCAGCATCCAGAAAAACCTCCCGATCTTTTCGTCAAATGAAAATGTTTCAATTATGAATAAAATTATTGATATTCAAGATTATCTTAAAACTACCAACGGCACCATTTGAACGAAATGCTCACAAATAATTGTCGAAATTTCAACTTCTAAAACCAATCTGGCAATAGAAATATTAAAAACAATAATAAACAAGTTAAAAATTGCCAACAACAAAGGAGGCACTTATGCCCATCACAGCAACAGTACGGTGGCTTATCTACGCAACTAAAGAATCGTTCACTCCCATTACTGTAAGCAAAGGCCACTCCTAATTTTTACAATAAAATGAACGCTTCCTTGCCACCCAAAAGCATCTCTCTTTCCCTACCAGACAAAATACGTAAACAATAAATATGAATAGACCTCAACACAGCGAACGGGTGGTACGAAAAAAGCATTCGTGCCTTCACCGGTAACCTGACATCTTCTCACTATTTGGCAGAAATAAAAAAGATAAATTAATACCCGACTTGAATCGAGAAAAATTTGTCGACAAGACCCTAACAAGTCAAAAAAAAAAGTGAACCAGCTTTAATCTTATACTTAAAATTAGAAAGGAGACTCACGTCCATATTTTGTTAGAGCCTAATAAACGACTAAGAAAACCAAAGTCGATAAAAACAGACGAGACTCAACTAACCAATGAAGAAATACGAGTGCAAATTTAATACTTCATCAGAAAGTTAATATCATTTTCTCTCTTATTTTTTACCCCAGAACCATCCTTTTACCATGCCGCTAATTCCCTGTTGTTCTTCCTTGACTGACGGTTGAGAAGTTTTTGCTACGGCTTCTTTTCCCCTCCTCGCCTCTTGCTTTGATGGAAGTTTCTCAGCAAATGAAGCTATTTTGGCCTCTAAATCTGGCATCTAAATGAAATTAATTCAATAGTATTTTAACAAAATAATGAAAAAAATTTAAATGTTTGCTGAAACGTTTCATTAAATGTTCAACAATCTAAACCCGATTTTATTGGTTTTTCACTTTAAAGTCAAGTTTACCTGCTCATCCCTTCATTACTAAAAATCAGCATCCATTGAAGTTTCAAAAATGTCGCATTTCTTTGCCGCATAAAATCCGCTTCAAAACCTTACAAACACAAAATTCACCCTCGCTCTGAGAGTTTGAAAAAATTTGAAATGACCTTCCTAATTTTTAATTTTATTTCTCTAGCTTTCCATTGCATCAACTGTTCTTCGAAAAATGTATACCGCAGTTTCGTTTTCAGCAAAACAACGACTTTTGACCTCAGCGACAGGTTGTGAAAAAGAGTATGACAAAATCAAAAAACTTAACTCAAAAACACCGAACAATACTAGCCTGGCTGGAAATTTCAGTCTTCTAACTAGAATTATGCCAAAATCAAGATTTTTTGCACAAAGTTCTCCGGAACAACAAGTTTACTCTTAACGACGCTACTGCCAAAATAAAATGTTTCGAAGTAAATTTTAAATAACTCATCTCGCTTCTCACCTAATAACAAAACACTTCAGTTCTATTTGAGCCTTAAATTTACACGAAATTTTATGAGCAAAAATAACTCGGACAAATCTGTTCAAGCGTCAGAATACCAGTTTTTCCCTGCTGATTCAACGTGATACTTTTCCCTTTATTAATATTATTATTATTATTATTATTATTATTATTA